CATATACACCCCCTACCTCCACCCCCACACAAACACACACACACATATACCTATTTGTGCCTAATGAGAGCCATTGCTATGATGTCTCATCCTGAGGTAATGGTAGCTTTGAACAAGGGTGGTGGGCTGAGTGGATCAAATAGATCATAGACAAGAGACATGAAGGTAGAAATGACAAAATTGACAACATACTAGATGTGTGGGGTGAGTGCGTGTTGAGGAGTGGGTGATGTGGGGTGAAGAGATGAGAATGATACCAAAGTTTTGAACCTGTGTGATTTGGAGAATGGTGGTCCTCTCCAGAGTAAGAGAAAAGTTGGGAGGAGGACTGAGTTCTGTTTGGAACATCTTGAGTCTAAAATGCCTAGAAGCATCCCTTCTGAGATGTCCAAAAGGCAGTTGGTGATGTTTGATTAGAGCTCAGGAAAGATTTTATGGCTGTATATGTAGATCTGGGAAGAATCTGCATAGAGCTAATAATTCAGTCTATGCAAGCTGTTGAGATCATCAAATAATATAGTATAGATAGAGATGAAAAGAGTATTGAGGATAGGGACTTGGGGGACACCAGGGTTGATAGGTGGGATTTAGATGGAGATCTAGCAAAGAGGATTTAGAAAAAGTTTTCATACAGACAGGAGGAGAACCAGGATAGATTAGTATCTCAAAAATATAGAGAGGAGAAAATCTCCAGGAGCAGAAGGCAATTGACAGTTTCAAAGGCTTCAAAGAATTTAAGAAGGATGAGGCTAAAGAAAAGGCTATAAGAGTTGGCAATTCAGAGATCATTGGTAACTTTGGAGAGAGCAGTTTCAGTCAAATGATGAGATTAAGAAGTCAGATTGCAGGGGGTTTTGAATGGAGTGAGAGTAGAGGATGTGGAAGCACTTAGCATAGATGACTTTCTTAAGGAGTTTAGCCAAGAAGGGGAAGAAAGATCTAGAATGGTAGCTAGCAGGGATGGACCGATTAAGTGAGAGGTAAGTATGGGTGGTACATGGGCATATTTGTAGGTATCAGGGAAGGAGCTAGGAGATGGGAAGAGAGATTGAAAATGAGAGAGGGAGAGATGGTAGACAGGCAATCTGCTTGAGAAGATAAGAGATGTTAGAATCAAGGGTACATATCAGTAGGTTTGCCTTGACAAGGAAAAGAGTCACCTCTTTATGAGAGATGGGTGGAAAAGTTGGTGAAGCAAGATCTCTGAGTTGTGACATAGGAAGAGAGAAGAAGAAGCCCTCAGAGAATAGCCTCAGATTTTTTTTTTTGAAATATGGGGTGAGGTTCTCAAATGAGAGGGACTTGGAAAGGGATGCTTTAGAGGGCATAAGGAGGGATGAGAATATTTAGGACAATCACTGTAGTGAATAGGATAACAAATTGATTAAGGAGATGAAAAAGGATTGCCTAGCTGCAGCAAAGGCCCAGTTGAGATTATGTACTATTATTTTGTAATGGACCAAGTCAGCATGGTTTCATGATTATCTCCAGCTTCATTTGGTAGCATGTGAATAGAAGACGAGGAGAGGAGTATGAATAAAGTGCACCAGTAGTGGAAAGGGTGGCCAGGGATGAGTGTTATCAGGTGGAAACTAGGGCTGAGTGAGAACAAGAAAAAGGAAACAGTGAGAAATGAAGAAGTTTAAGGGGAAAATCAATTTTTTAATTATGGAGCAGGCATTCCATAGAGCACAGTGGTTGAGACAGGTAGCTCTGGAGTGGAACACTTAGGGAGTAGGACAGGAATAAAGGAGCAAGGAGTTGGGGATGGGGAATGGATTTTGCATATCAATTGTTGGGGTTCAGAACTGTAGGGATAAGAGTATGAAGAGGCTGTATTATGCAATTATTGAGGAATAATTCTAGGCAGAGTATCTGTGGTTGTAAATCAGTGTATTAAAAGGCAGTTTATTAGACTGACTACTCTAAGTTTTCCCTAACGATTCAACCTCATGGGAAGTAGTGATATTTGGATCCTGTAATATCTACCTTGGCGTAGTTAAGACTTGGAAAAGGTATGGCATGATGGAGCCTGATCAGGAGTCAAGAGACAGCTTTGAAGATTTTTCTAGGAAAGGATGATCTCTGGAGAACTGAAGGAGGTCTTAGGGGTGAAAGATTTGATCTTGGGTTGATGTAGAGATTGTTGGGAAGGTCTTAGAGTGAAGATGGCATCTGGAGGTTAGTAGTATGATCCTGACCTGTTATGATTTAAAGATTTGAGAAACATAGTTTCTGGGTAATTTAATCATTTTATTAATAAGACCAGAAGGTTATTACTAAAGGATGCTTATTTGGCTGTCTCTCTCAGACCAAAGACCCCTAATTTTGGTGGGGTCACAGTTTATATGCTTTTCAAAGAGGAAGTGTTCCCAGGGCTTGCCTACTCAACTCTGATTGGTTAATCATATGATAGGTGGGCTATCTTGGGGTGAGTAATTTAGGTGACTCAACTCTTGGTCAAGGAGATATCAATTTCCATATCACCTGTCTTGATTATAGGGAGAATCAACATTCCCCCAGACCTATCTGAAAAATGTCCATTAGCCTAAACTTAGAATTTCTTTTGCTGTCTGATTAGATCTTGAACTGGGTAAATTTCTAAGAGAGATGTCCCACAATGGTTGATTTCTGGATGAGCAAGTAGAAAAGGGGAAAAAAAAAAACCTTGGTCCTAATGCAATAATTAGTTATTAGATATAAGAGAGAAATATTCATTTCTCACAGAACTGATATAGGCCTCACAGAGGTCATCATGAAGGCCTTAAAGGAAAGACATAATGTGGGTATGGAGAAATTGGACAGGTGGTAGCCAGATCCTGGACTGAAAAATTGTTAGGCTCTGGAGGAAAAACAGAGCATCCAGAGCTATATAGCCACATCCCAGGATGACTTGGGGATCACTGGGAAGGTCTTGGAAGGAAGAGAGATGAGACAGTAGCCTAGGGTCATGGAGTGGCAGGCAAGGAAGAAATGGACTGATTTAAAAAAAAAACAGGCTTAAATTCCTAAGGACTTCTGTTGTTAGCTGTCTATGTGTAACTGACTAGAGAATCTAGTCACAAAAGAGTTGTAATAATTCTGGGGCTATGAACTAAAGACTTGGGGAGAAGAAGCTGAAGACCAGTAGATGTCAGCTTAGTGGTAGCAATTCAGTAGAGCCCCTTTAGAGATCAAGATGGAGCTGATAATAGATTCACAAGGAACCTCAGCTCTGTGGATAATACAGTTTCCCTGATGATACCACCAAGGGGTATTGGTTGCTTTGTTGGGAACAAGCAACAGCATTAGAAACATGAGTTACCCTGATGATGCATCTTGTGCATCCTTTCTCTCAGTGGAGATATGGCAGCCCTGTGTATAGGAGAATCTTTCTTGTCACTTATTTTGCTATGCTATCTCATTAAATATCCATTGCTTTGGATGAATGTAATCTCTGGTTGGTTGGTAATGTCATGAGATGTGATTTTGACTGGAGACTGACCCACAATGTGCCTAGAATCTTACTCAACTGCCAGGATTTACATATCTGAATAGAGACACAAGTACTTCCATATGTTTCCTTCGTCCTTAGTTTCCCTTTATCCTTGTTCTTTTAAAAATTTGTCCTTCATCCTCCCTTAACTCTCTTTCATTGACTTACATAGAGTGGGTTCTTTGTGCTGACAGACCCTCTTCCACTTTGCTCTCTTGATATATTCTCACTACTCTTGTTATAACCAGACCTTCCTCTGGCCCATCCATCTCTCCTCCCAATTCCTAAATTGGCTGCTCTGAATTATTATCATAGAACCTAATGGGATGGAACCATTTATTTAAAGTTGGAAGGGCCCTTAGAGATCAGAGAGTCCATCCCCTTCATTATATAGGTGAGAAAACTGAGGCCCAGAGATGCTGAGAGGTATAGTTATTGGCAGAGGCAGGATCTGAATCCAGCACTTCTGATTTCACATCCAGTATGCTTTCCATGGTGTTGCTTTGCTTCTCATTTTATTTATAGAGCAGAGTTGGCCCTGGGTAAAGTGAAGTAGGGGAAGTCTGTGCCTTCGTTCCATGCCACCTCTTCCTTTCAATTACTTAAAAAGTTCATAGTTACTTGTCTCCAGCTTCTCAGAGTACCTCCCCTCCCTATTCCTGTACTTAACCTCATGGGATACTTTTTCTCTGAGTAGAAACCTGTCCTATCTCTTTCCTTTTCCCTTCACAGAAACTCACCTGTCCTGTTTTACACTCCCCCAGGGCCTTGCTACTGACTGGAATCAGGAACAAATCAATGCCAATGTGTTTATTAATGCTATTCTTGTGGAAAAGAGGGAGAGGTGTGGTTTGAGTGATTGTGCAATTAGGCAGATTCAGAACTGGTTGAATGGTGAGGCTCAAAAAGGTGCTGTAAGTGGTTCAATGTCAACTTGACACCTCAAAAGAGGCACTTGATACACTAGGCACAGAAAATAAAGTAGATGCATGAATCCAGGGCATGAATGGACAACTAAGTGTTTACATTATACAGAAGGATGTTTAATAGCTTGGGTGGGGTGGGGGAAGGGCAGTAGACAAGGGTGCCCCTTCAAGAATAAGAGAGGAGGAAGATCTAGGGGACCCTTATAGCTAGACTTAAGGGAGGGAAGCAGGATGGGTAGAGAACAAGTATGCATTTTGGGAGGATTTTTGAAAGGTGCCAGGATCAGTAGCCCATATCCAGATATTTTCTTGGCCCTGCCTCTGGTCAGGGAAAGGCAAATCTAGGATAAACAAATAGAGACTGGGTTCAGTGTTTCATCTAAGTCAAATTTGCATCCATGGAGGTGGTAGGATTCTTTTTTAATTCACATCAGGCATGCATAGTGTCCTCCTGCTCCTCCACTTTCTCCTCCAACTGGGTTCCTGCATAAAGCAAAGAGAGCTGCTGAATCTTTGGAGAGTCTGGCTTGCTATCACATCACTTCTGGGTTAGGTTTCCCGGAGCATCTGAGTCTCAGCAGGAGTTTTGTAGAGAAAGAATGCCCACCCTACTCATTCTCTTCTTCATGATCCTTTTTCTCCTGGAGTTTATGGCAGCAATCCTAGGAAATAGTTTCATCATCATAGTGCTGGTCAAGGAGTGGGTGCAATGTTGGACCCTGCCCCTTGGTGACATGATCTTGACAGGCCTGGGCATCTCTCGCTTCTTTCTACAGTGGGCAGCAGGTCTTAGCAACTTCTACAGATATTTCTCCTCAAATAACGGAAGTCTATACCTTGGCATTTTCTGGAATTTTACTAATGTGGCCACATTCTGGTTCACCACCTGGCTTGCTGTTTTCTATTGTGTGAAAATTTCTTCCTTCACTCACCCAATCTTCTTCTGGCTGAAATGGAGAATTTCCCAATTTGTCCCCTGGCTACTTTTGTGGTCCCTATTGATATCCAATTTGATATTGATCCCATCTTTTATAAAGAACTATCAGACTTTGTACCTAATCACTGGAAATTACTCAGAAAAGACCTCTTTGGACGATAGGACAGGTATATTCCAGAGGTATTTTTACCTGCCACTGAAAATATTTATTTTGTTAATTCCTTTCTTCTTCTTCCTGGTCTCCATCATCTTGGTCATTTCCTCCCTGTGCCGACACTTGGGGAACATGCAGCAGCACAGTGCTGGTCCTCAGCATCAGAGTATGCAGGTCCACATTACAACCCTGAAATCACTTTTCTTCTTTCTCATCCTCTATACATCATATGTTCTGCCTCTGATCATTGCCCTCATAGCACCTGTTTCAGTTTACAGCTCTTGGTTTTGGGTATGGCAGGTAGTGATCTATGCTGGCATCTCCATCCATCCTGCTTTCCTGATCCTGAAGAGCTCAAAACTGAGAAGGGCTCTAAAGAAGATGCTTCATGACCCAGAGACTGTGTGAGGGGAATTCAGCTCTGAAGTGATCAATGTCAGTGATAAATATTGAGCAATGACCAATGTTGCTATTTGCTATATAGATGCATGAGAATTAGAAAGGAAGGAAGAGAAGGAGTGAAGGAAGGAAGAAAGGAAGGAAGAGGAGTGAAGGAAGGAAGAAAGGAAGGAAAGAGATATGTAATTATGTACTTATGATATTTTGGCACTGGGGATACCAATACAATCACTTAGGTACTGACTTTTCATCTTCTCCATTCTCTCTTCCTTCACTACCTAGTTCATTCATTCCTAAGCCCTGTCAGTTTTTCCTCTGTAATATTTTGTAGCTAATTGAAAGGTATTTTGGAGGCCGACTCCTTATATCTGGAGTACTAAGGCCATGAAAGATCAAGTGACTTGTCCTTACCACTAACAAGTTGTAAGTGTCTGAGGCAGAATTTGAACCCAGCTCTCCCTGATTCCAAGTCCAGCATTCACTTCATTTCACCATGATTTTTACCTTTCCTTGTCCTTTTTTCTTATACTCACACCCACAGCCACATGAATAATCTGTGTCCTAGGCTCTAAACTACTTGTGCCCACGTGATGGTACAATCCTTTTTATTGGCCTCTCTATCTATCCTGCAAAGAATCTTTTGATACACCTCAGTTACTGGCAAGGGGGACTGGGAGCAAATCATTTAGCTCTTTAAGCCTTGAATTTCTTCAGCCAGGAAAAACAAAAGTGCAATGTGCATGTGTATATGTGTGTGTGTATTCAATGTATATTTTGTAAATATGTGCAATGTATATATGTATAAGTTTACACCCACACATACATACATACATACATACATACATACCCACACCCTCACACACACATATATATACAATACGGATAATAGTATTTTCTCTGCATACCTCAGGAGGTTATCCAGAGCAAAGAACTCATGGTGGCCTCAAGGACACAGGTTCCCCACCCCTGCATTAGACTGTTCTCATTGGATTCACCTCAGAAGACTATATTCAAAAGGCTTTTTCAGTCATGGCTTGACTTTTTTTTTACTTTTCCATTCCTTTCAAAACTCAACTGGAAACAAACCTTCTATTCCCAGTTCAATGTCAGATCCTTGAAGGCATAAGTGTGTGTCTTTGGACCCCTAGAAGAATGGCATAGCAGACAAGGACCCAGCTTCTTTGTAAGGAAGACCTAGGTTTAAGTCTTACTCAAGACATGTGCTGGCTGGGTGACTCAGAGAATTGACTTAACCTCTCAGGGCCCATGACAGTCTTTTAAGATTCTAGATTGCTGAGCAGGTGCTGATCTGCACTGGGATTTCCCTATGCTAATGAAATTGCAGGTCCACTCTCCTTGCTGGCCCCTCCCCACCACCAATAAAAATACAGCAATACTCAATCACCTAAAACAATGCCTTCAATCAATAAACATTTATTAAGCCTCTATTTTATGTCAAGAACTACTAGTATTTATAGAATACTTTAAAGTTTGCAGATTGCTTTACAAATATCATCTTACTTTATCCTCACAATAACCCATAGAGGTAGGTGCTATTATTATCATCCATATTTTACAAAGGAAGAAACTGAGGAAGGTATAAATGAAGTGACTTGCCCAGAGTCACACGGATAATAGGTATGAGAGGCTGGATTTGAACTCAGATCTTCCTGACCCAGGGTCCAACACTTAATCCACTGTGCCACATAGCTGTTGTAAAGATATGAAGAAAAGAAATGAAATAGTTCTTGTTCTCATGGAGATTATGTTCAGTTGGGGGCCTGGCACATAGTAAGTGCTTAATAAATGTTTGCTGAATAAATGAATTAAAAATAAGACATGTTCAGTTTAAGCATAATGACATTGTTCTAGATGATGTAACCGCTTACCCCAATCACTCTGGCAATGTCTTACTTTGATTCTAGACTCCCTTATTGCCCTCCGTGACAGGAGAAAGCTTCAGGGGTGAGGATGGTGGAAGGACCTCATCCATTACTGTGGCATGACAGACATATTCTTGAGAATATGAAGAGAGAGAGAAAAGAAACATGGTACTCTGCTAGCAGAGATGGCATCTTCCTCCTTAAGCTGTCTGTGCAGGACTTTGATACCCAGCTCATGGTAGGAAATTCCTCCTTTCATTTGCTTAGTTTGAGAGGATCAGAAACATAAATGAATTCAGTTCAATGGAACTAATATCTGACATGTGGAGAAATGGCTGTCTGGAGCTGTGACCCAAAGTGGATATAATTTGTGCACAATCCCTCCTCCCCACCTCAATTCATTGAGAGAGGAGAAGGTTCCAGTGGTCTGAACACTGGTCTACATAAGAGGGGTTACTGTGAGTGAAAACCTAGGACAAATGTCTTTGTCAGCTTCTGGTGTGGAGGGGCTCAATTGAACTGAACTGACTTTTGGCCTAGCTGGAGTTTGGGGGAAGGGGATATAATAGAGGTGGGGGCAGCTCAGGAACATTCTTGCTGGGTATATCATGTTGTTTGTTTACTTCATTTCTAATAGTCAGGTTAAAGTTATCAGTAAACCACTATGCCTCGAGAAGGGGAATCTAGTATGGGAACTTCAAGCTATTTATCCAATTGGGTAATCCACATGACAAATCATAAACTAATATGAAACTGGGGTAGCATCCACAAAGAGATGGCATCCAGAGAACGGTGGTAACTGGCTCCCTATAGGCCTGAGAGATGCCCAAGGAACTGGGATGACTTTGGGTGCCCTCTGCTGTTGGGTGGTTCATATGACATGTGCAAAGTATTTGACTGATAGAAGATACAGCGTGGACCATACTACCAGTCTAAGGCACTGGTCACAATGCTCTACTTGGTGTCATATTATTTACTGAGCACTTACCTGTTTGAATTTGTCTGTTATTGTTCCTTGAATATAATAATGTCTGTATGGCTTAGAAATACTCAAATATTTCTGTGATCTTATCCATTTAGGAATTCCCTTCAGTGTTGCAGGTTCACATTTTATACATGCCTATGTATCTCCTGCAATCTTATCTATGTACTCTGATATGTTCTTTTTAGGTGGTATGCCTGTGGTTTAGGTGGTATACATGTGTGATGAAGATCCTCTTCTTCACCTTCTCCCAACATCTTGAAGATACTATGGAGTACATTGCTTGTTTTTATGTTTTTATTTTCATTTGCCATGTCATGGTAAGACCAGAATTATAATGACTCAGCTTGCAGGAAACCTGATCAGTCCTAGCTTCCCTGACCTGGTCTAGGGGTATGAAAAGGTCCCAGCCCAGTGGAATCAGATCCTCTCAGACTTGGTGGGTGCATGTGATCATGTGATTTTTCATAACCATGTGACTTATTGACCAGATGAAGTGTCCAGGTGGAGGTGAGGAGGACCATGTCCAGAAAAACTAATATCCACATTGTATATTCTTACTCTGTTAGGGAAAGGTAAACCTGCTCCTTTATTAAATGTCCAGTGACTTGAGAATGACTCATTTAGTCCCAACATCGAACTTGAACCAAGAGGGTACCGTCTTTAGGGCCATGTCTGCAAAATAGGTGACCAGCCTATTGTCTCTTTCTGAAGTCCAATTTATTGATGTTTCCTTTACTCTTGTTCTTTTTTGCAGTTTCTCATTGGCTCTATGTTGAAGCTTGCTCACTTTCACTATGTAGTTTCCATTATCCACCTCATTATACTCATTTTTAGTTCTCCAGAGACAATGGTTCCATTGCCATATAGCATCACTGGTAATATGTTAGTATTGGAAAGGTGACTCTTTTCTTTCATGGGAAACCCATGAAACAAAGATGCCTTATAAAAGAGAAAAATATTTCCCTTAGGTTTGGACAAATAAGAGATGGAGATAGAAAGGAAAAGTCCCTTTCTCCATTTCTCCCACCTTTCTCTTCTTCTGAAAAAACTGTTAGTTTATTACCTAGAAGATATTGGTAAATCTGAGTTTATCACTATGGAGTAAGGAAATCCAAATATTTGGAATAGTAAAAATAGAAATAAAATCATAGACCTTGGAGGAACGCAGCCATCATTTACCACATTTACATGTGTTACCACTAGTGGAAATGTGGCTCTATGGGGCCAAATGACTTGCCCAAAGTAACACAGTTATTTAATCAATAATAGGTCTGATGCAGAGAAAAAGAAGGAGTTAAGAAGAATAATAAAAAGCAGTCAAAGGTTGCAAAGTGAAAAGTAGAAAGAAAAGACCCTTGAGAGGCTTGAAGGAGAAGCCTGAACCAAGAGCAGGAATGGTTTTTGGACAGCTGAGGAGAAACACTTTCCTTAGCTAAGCACAAGTGTATTCTACACACCTGGGTTATCTAACATGTAAATAGTCTTTCATTTCTATCTATGTTTATTCATCATAGTGGTCTGAGTTCAAAACTTAGTGCACAACTCAGAGTACTGAACTTAGTATAGTGTTTGGCCCGTAACTGGTACATAATAAATAAATGCTTTTTGATTGATTTAGACACAGGTTCCCCACTCCAAATCTGGCTCGCAGAATGTGGCCTATGATTTGTCTTTTAGTTAACAGTGAATATGATGAAATTAAAGATATCTGTGATAATAAAAATGAATGAAATGTATTTGAAGGGAAAAATATTTCTATGTAGTTTTTTCCATATATACATAACAGATAGAGGTATACATATAGGTTTACACACTCACACAAATATGTATATTTTTCAAAATGCTATCATTTTAGGGGTAGTGTTTCTATTCTAGGTAATTTTCATTGTTTCTAATGAAGTAGTCATGACAAACTCAAGAAGGCTAGTCTAAATTTGTAGGGGACCAGCCCAAGCACTCACTATCAAGAGGGGGCCAGGAAATAGAGGAGCTGTGATGTTCTTTTTTTTTTTTTTTTTTTGCCTTGCACATGTGTGGAAATTTTCTCTTCCCATTGGATTGCAAGGAACTGGGAGACAGAGGCTATCTTTTGTCTGTATGGCAACTTAGGTATGTAGTAAATACTTTATTGAGAATGCTGA